ACAAAAGGTTCACTTGTGATTAATACACATAAAGACATCATTAAGTTTGCCATAAACCTAAACTTCCTGAAAATTTAAAGTATGTAAGTGGAGAAAGCAAAATGAAAACATGAACTCTCAACCACATTTTCTGTTTTACCTTGATGTGTGTTATTTCACAGTTTTAATCAGTCTTTTGAAGTAGCTTCAAAAAAGAAGAAACTTAATTTGTCACAAAGTATTTTTCTAAAGACCTCTGACTTAAGAAATATGAATATTTAAACTATCCACATAAAAAGTATATACTTTACATTGCTATCTGTTGGTGATTAATAATTTGAATACTTGAAATAAGATGGATTTTTGTTGTTAAAATTCTTAAATAGCCTGAATATTAAATTAAAAATATTAATTTAGATTACCTCCAAAATCTGCCTTATCCTTAAGCTCATTTACTTTCAGAAAACATTATTAATATCAAGACTTCTTTTAGAGTAATATTTACAAATGAATAGTACAATATTGATAATCCTTTAAAAAAAATAAGTCCCTGAGTGACAGTGAAAGATCCCCATAAAATCATGTTAAAGGTAAAATACAAGTTTTTAAAAAAATTAATTCTGAGTTCAAAACAAAAGCCAGAATTCAGCCAGCAGGTTTTCTTGCAACTTGAATAAATGCTGTCATACTGAAATTAATAATAAAATATATAGCTGACACGTTTATCAAAACTAAATTGTCTAATTATTAGGTGAGCCTTTCCCAGGAACTATATTTTGTACATCCTTCATCTTATTATACAGTAGTAATCTTGTGCTTTTCATTTATCCAGCACTATTGATATGCTTTTCAGATAGGAACAGATGATAATTCATTGCCTCATTGTGTTCATTTGAAAAAAAAATTGAACCAGAAAATATTTAAACTACAAAACAGCTTTGAGTGTTTTTTCTGCATCTTGGGATCCAGAGCTTGTTGTTTTTAATTGCTTTATTTTTAGAACCATTATACCAATACATTCATTAATTAAGTTATGGTTAAAACTACTAGCTAAAAATAATCTGAGCTACTCCACAAAGTTGTCCAGAAAGCAGTCCTTGTTTTCCAGGCATCATACAAGAATTATCCTTGGTATTTAAAAAAAAAAAACACCAAAAACCCTTGAAGTAAAAAAAATGAGGGGTTTGGACAGGGGAGGGAAGCTGAATTCAGACTTGAGTACATAATTGTCAAAAGAGTATTTTAACCCTGCAAACTCTAGCTTCTTTAAAACATGGGAAGTGAAATTGAAGCATTCATCTGTTTATAGTTCAAATAAGATAAATTTATCTGGCTAGGAGCTATCTATGTGTACTGCGTTATACTTAATACCCAGACCCTCAAAAATGTTCCAGTAAGAATTAAATTGTGGCTTTGACCCCAATTCCTGTGTAACAGACTGTACAATAAAGGCAGTGCATTATAATAAGGTATGGTTTCTTTAGAGTCCCAACTTTTTGCTTTTATCCCTTGGAGTAAATGTTCTATAAAAAAAATAAAATTTTTAGTAAGAGAAAAATGTCTAAAGCATCAGGGAGGAAGTTATAAATTAAATGTTGCTTGCCTTTAGAAGCTGTATCATTGCTATATCATTTTTCATGAAAATTTTTAATTAAGCCATGATTTAGTACATTATACCTGTTGCTTTATATCCATAAGTTAAAATAGACACTTGAAGGCAATTAAAACATTTCTTTTTGCTAGTAATCTGGGGTGACAAACTGGGTTATAATAGATGTTGAATTTGTGTTCCCATATAAACTGTACACCAAATGTCAGTCAGTCCATGCCAATTAGTGCTTATGTTGCTAGGTCACCATGGTCAATTGAAAGCTGCATCAATAGAACTTGAAAAGGTTTCTTCCCGATCAGACCTTCTGACATATTGAGCAGAATAATGGATGGGAAAAAACAGCCAAGGCCCCTACCCTAGATTCAAAATACTCAGCAGTAAGAATTCATTTGCAACCTGCAATTAACTAGAAAGAATGGACTCCAAGAAGGAGTCTGGACATTTTAGAAAATAAAGCCTCATTCTCCTGTATTTCACATGTTTGCTCTTTGCATAGTATCTTAGACATAGCTAACTTGATCTTTGGATCTATATCTATATTTCAGGTTGCTGAAAACTGATTTACAAAAAATTCATAGAAAAACCTTTTAGAAAAGTGAGACTTTTTAATTTACTTAATTGAGTTTAACTGAGATTTTGTTTTATTTTAATGCTACTTACTGAAATGTCAGGCTGAAGTGGATGTAATGAATAAATGTCCTTATTTCTGATCATGGAAAGTTGTTCCTGGCATTTCTGTGCCATAAATATGAAATAAATTGAGTTACCTGAAAAAATTCTGGAGTTTATATAAGATTTTGTGCTTAGGATTTTTTTCTTTTTCTCCTGTCCCCACCCCAATAGAGCTGCAGCTGAACCTCTACTGCCTTGGAACCGTATGCTACAATCCCAAAATGCAGCATTTCAGCAAAATCAGTATCAACTAGTAGGAGGCCCAGGCAGTTATCCACCAAGACGTGATGATCGTGGAGGGAGACAGGTAACTCATAATGGAGTATTCTCTACCAGGCTTCTTATGCAGCTTAAAACTAGTTACATGATAAAATCTGTAATGCTTACTTTATGCTTTAAATGCACTTTAGAGATGGAGATTATAAATGTTAACTCAATACCACTCGTCTGAACTTGGGTGGAGATTATATACTATTATTGACAGTATAATATGACATCTTTATAATTAAAGGGTTGTCCAGTTACCAGTGCACTTGAGAAACTGTATAAACTCCAAATGAGGTTCCATTTAAATTAGTTTTTGGAAATTAGTGGCAACATTACAGAGAAACACTGAAATCTGTCAGTCCATTTAAGTGACACTTGTTTCAATTCAAAAAGAATATGAGGGTTTTGAAATGTGCTAAATACTTTTTTAACTAGAAGAATTCTGTATCTGAAACATCAGAAGTTCCTTTTCATGAATCAGTTGACATCCTGGCTAACATTTATATATTCTTTGTTTTGAAATGATTGCCAAGGAAGAGAGTCAGAATGTTTCAATTCATGTGGCATGGAATTTATGATCATATGAAATATTTAAATAACTTACATGATATAGCTCAAAGGCCTACTTTAAATACTTTTGAATGTTAAATTGACATTTTTTCTAGTCTAATTTTGCTGCCATGTGTCCTTTTATTGCCTACCATTTATTTGTCTCCAAGTAACCAAATGTCCTTGTTTTTTTCCTCAGTGTTAAAACATTAAGAAGTATTTCCCTTTGTAAGTTCATAGAGCATGTGTCATAATTCCGCATAATTAGAACGGTTAATTAGTAAAATGACCCTAGTTATATCAATTGAAAGGATTTATTACCATGACCTGTTAAAAATCAGTTTATAGACTTTGTTCTTGAATACTATCATCCTAGGGTCCTGTTGATGATGGATACTATTGTGTATAAAGATGAGTAATGTGTATTCTAGAATCATGGCATTCTTAGAGCCAAAAGAAACTTTAAGGATCTTATGGTCCAACTCCCTTATTTTCTAGAGGAGAAACCAAAAGGCTTATTAGAAAGCTTAAATGGCCTGACCAGAGGCTTAACACTGCAAAATCTGGAACTAGAACCCAGGTGTCTTCATTCCGTAGTTAAATGTTGGTCTTTCTGCTAGATCCTAAACCTACTGCCACCCTCAAGTCTGTTTTGGATATAGGGTTCACAAAATTCTTTTTCATACAAGTGATTTTGAAATCACAGGTCAAGTTATAATGATCAGTTTAAAATACAGGTTTGTTTTGTTTTATAATTTTCTTTTCTCTTAGTATGGTCTTCCATTGTGAACTACAAAATTTGTTTCATCAATTACATGGCAGAAAATTGCTGTCACAAACATAATATTATGACTTCCTTGCAGAACCCAACTAACAAAGACCTTAGCTTACTTACATTGTGAACTTAAGGTCTATATGTGTTTATTTTATTAAAATTAAACCACTTCACTGATCTGAGTGGAAATAAAAAGCGTCAAAAACTGGTTTTGAGATTCTTTTTTAGAGCCCTAGAATAAAAGGGAGCAATAATAGAAGTAGTGGCACATTTTTATCTTGTGTTGTGCTGAAATTTGAAAGGATGATTATTTGCAGGCATACCAAAAGTCTGAAATATAATTGTTTCATTAGTAATTGATTAGTCTGTAGCATTGGTCTTTGTGACTTAAAAAAGATTGTTGAACATCTGTATCATGTTATATTAGGAGAAGCAACCTGTAGAATTAATTGATCTCTTAGTTCAAATAGTTTTCAATTGCTTATTTATTAAACCTCATAGTTGACTTGGTTACCCACCAAAAGGTACTTTAAGCACTTCACCTAAAAAACTTGTGTGTGTGTGTGTGTGTGTGTGTGTGTGTTACTTTTTTCCTAAACTATAGGTGATCATACTTAGTGCTTTTTTAGTTTATAGTGTTAGTGAAACCTAAAGATCCTGAAAAGCAGCTGTTACATTAATCAACACTTAATTAAAATTTTAAAGTCAGTTTTCAGGCGTTTAATTTTTGCTAACTCTATTCTGTATCAAGTAGTCTACAGAACTTTTTGGATAAAAATATTTCCCTTTAGGAGACCATCTGTATATACTCTTAATACTTACTTAGAACTCTTTGCTGCCCTTATCTGCGAAGATGCTGTCTTGTAATTTTAAAAATAGAGCAGAGAAGTTAATTTATTTGTTAGGATGTTAATCCAGAAAATAAACTCTTCCTTTTGTTTATTTACAGGGATATGGCCCTGGAAGGAATTACCCTTTGCCACCTCCCTCAGGAAGATACAACTGGAATTAAGCTTTTGTAAAGCTTTCTTAAATCCTTTCATCATTCTACGATTTTATGCTGTTTGTGGAAAGGAAGCATCCTTATCAAACAGTAGTTTAAGAATTACAATACTTGATGTATTTGTTTTAACCGTGTATATTTCTTACAGATCTGATTTTCAGTGTTTTATGTTGCTTTCCAATTGTGTAACGCATAATACAGTGGAATTGAATTTACTACTTTACTTGTGAGAGACATTTGATGAATAGAAAAGTATTGGTTTTTTTAATCGTAGTTAAGAATCAAACTGTATTACTGTGAATTTCAAAACAGTGTACACTAGCTCATCCAAAATACATACTGATTTTTAATTAATGCACAAAAATTAGGTCTGAACACTTCAGGTAGAATCTTCAACCAGCTAGAAAACACATGTTTAAGACAAGCTACTGTTCAATATTCCTTTGAAAACACTTCATTATTGTATCTGTCTGAGAATTTCTGGACCACTTTAGTAAAAAAAAAAAATTAACTTTTAAAACTCTGGTCTCTTGTGTTCTTTTCTATTTTTCCTCAACATTTCAACACTTCACTTTTTAAGTGTATAGCAAAGTCAAAGCCAATATGTTTGTTTCTTTTTAGGAAGCTCTTGCAGAGATTAATTCAATTCTATCATTAGATAAAAAAGACTCATTTTTAAAGGTGCAGACTAGTATAGTTGGCACTTTATAATTCTTTTGAATTTGGATCAGCCCAAGAAATGGTTTTTAAAAGTACATATTCCACAGTGCATTAACATGTCAGCAATATTAGCTTGATTGCTTATATTTTTGAAATTGTGATAAGCGATTTTTTAATGTACTTTTTGAAATTCATATTTGTTTCTGCATTGTCAGAATTTTGGGCGGGGGGGGGGGGGAAAGATTCTTACCTGTTCTTAATCTGTAAGGATTTGTTCTAAGTCCTTAAGAAAATACTGGGAATTTTAATAAAAGTTAGGTATTCTTTGATCTTTAAGCATAGCAACTTTTTTATGCATAATCCAGATTACATTTTTAGGTTGTACATTTCATTTTGATTCATTTGTTTCATTATTTTAGAACATTTCTTCTTTGCCATTTTTTTAAAAAATTATAAATTATAGCCTTTTGAAGCCTTTTCCCTTTTCTCGAGGAAATGATTTCTCCTGGACCATCTGGTATGAGCATTTTTGCTTCAGCCATCTATCTTCAAGGGCACAGATGTTAACCCTAGTGAATAAGGAAAGAAATATCACCTTAGCCTTGAAAGGAAGATATTTTGAAATTGGTTTTTTTAACTTCTGAATGATAACAGAGTAGAACAGAATGTTTTGCTATAAAATTTTTTATCTAATTTATTGACATTGTAACTATCATATTTTAGTGCACTAATGAAACACATAATAGTACATATTAAAGTGGATATGAATTGTTCTGCCATGGATAAGCTAAACACTAAATTTTTTTGTGTTCTTGTTGTATTTCATTAAAAATCTCTTGCCGTCTAAAATTCTGCAAAAGCAGTAATAGCATGTGTCTGAAGGAAGCACATAGTTCCATCGGTGTACTTTTTTGCCTAAGCTCTTTCAGATATTATCTTTTTTGTGTGTGAGATTTCATAGCATTTTCTTTTCTCAAAAATCCAACAATTTAGGAAGGTTCATCTCATTTCACTCAGCCAAGTAATATGTCTTACATAGAAGCTGGGACTGCATTGAATTTACAAATCAGTTTTAAATTTCTGATCGTTGTTTTGGAGACCATTTTCTCAAAGCACATAGTTTTCAGAAAGAAATGTAGTCTTCAAAATCCGTACCATAAAAGTCAATAAGGACCATGTTTCTGCTCCATGAGTAGTGTGAAAATCGTTTTGGATGTGGAATGAGAGGACCTGGGTTAAAATATTGACTGCCATTTGCCCAGATGACTATGAGCACGTCAGTTTCTGTGAGCCTCTGTTACCTTATCTATAAAATGAGAGTTGGGGAGAGGTTATCTCTGGCTCTTAGTCTTGTTTCTGAGTAATTATAAAAGTCAAATGTTTAGCTAAACTACTGTTGCTTCAAGGAGAGGTTTATGTTCTTCCTTGATGCTTTCTCTTCCCTGTTTCCTTAGCCTTTTAATAGTCATTCATGTAGGTGGGATGCATGTCTTCTATAAAACCTTTCAGGGAATTTGGTCTCTGCCATTTGTATATAGAAAAAAAAAGGTTTTGTAGTTTTAAATATAACATAATAAATACTGCAATAAAGTGGTATAAAATTAAAGCAAAATATTAGTACATATAAATGTCATTTGTACAGAAAATCTCTTGAACTTGGCAATTTTGTTTATAAATTTTAATGTAAGTTAATGCTAGCTCTTGGAAACATGCACTTTCCAGCTTTGAGAACTCATATGCATGCATTTTGGTAGCGCTTAGTTCTTAAAATATTTTAACTCTAATTTCAGAAGGTGATGGAGGAGTACATTAGGCCAGGGCTTTGTGGGCTTTGTTACTCTGCTCTTCCTAGTTTTCTCTACAATGAAAAATAAGCTTTTTCCAATAGCTTAGTAGCAGAGCTGCTTTGGTCCTTAGTAAGAGAGAAATTATTGTATAACCTGATTACAAGGTGCATGGTAAAGGCAGTTGGTTTGGAAACTTCTCAGGGTTTCCCCAACTTCTCAAGAGAGTAGCCTTGGTTTAATCAGTTGAGAGGTGTGGAGAGGCGGAGAAGAACAGGCATGCACAAATGTCCTGGTTTGGTCCAATTCTGAAGCTTGTAGTTGCAACATTTAAGGAAGCCTAATATTCAATGTGCATTCTTTAATTTCCATTAAATAAAATGTGTTCCTAATGCCTGTGAGAGAACCTAATTTTGAATGAAGAGAGATGTGTGTTCTGCTTTGCAAATAAAGAAGTTTTTCAGTTCCTTGCAATATTGAATTTCAGTCCTCTCCCCACCCCCACCTCAATTTTCGTCTATTGTGCTCCTCAATTCCACTGCTTAAGGACTTGGTTCCTGCATCACACAGTGGTCCCTAGCTTTTTACCCCGCTCTAGCCTGAAAGCTTCATATTCTTTGTGGGTGTGGCCTTTAAAATGGCCCACCCACAGCTTCTTGGCTTTGTGAAGAACAAAAGTTGGGAGTGGGGGCTGGGAAGCGTTCCCCGGGAGGCAAAAGTCAAGTAGATTTGACATCAAAACAGTTTTTTTGAAGTACTACGAAGAACGGAGAATAAAGGGTATTCTTTTACCGGATAGGGGATTGAAGGAGCAAGTGACTCCTTGGTTTGAAAGCCTTCAAGAATAAGGAAAGCAGTGGTGTAGAATTATTCGCGTCCGTCTTAGAAGGAATAGGGATAACCGATCGCTTTCCACCTCGTCTAGAGTCTGGACAGTGTGAGACAAGGCAGGAAGGGAGAGTCTTGCGGTTTGCTAACTCTTAGGTCCGTCTCTTCTCATCCCAGCACTAGAGCTATATTCTAGAGCGCAGCTCCTGCTTGGAGTTCTTTTCTTGCTTATTGTAGCACCCGCAGCATTGGGGCCTTTGTATAGGAAACCTAGGAGAGAAAATGTAACACGAAATGCTAGCTACACGTTCTTCAATTTAAGCCCCTGGTTTGTAGCAAGATTCATATATGTCCCTTATTCTGCTGCTATCCTAAGTAAAGCGGCCCTCCACTTGTGCCCCAGTTGTGTTAGAAGGGTAGACACTTGTAATTAGGTATTGGCATTGTCTGATGTAGTTACACAGCACTAGTTCGAGTAAGAAGATAGAAAAGTGGCTTTAAAATGTCCTGTCCCCTACTTCCATTGAAAAGGTATATATCTCCATGGAAAAAAAAAAACTCATTATCAATGACATTTTGCAGAAGAACTGGCCCGACATTCACTTATTTACCTTAAAGCACGCTTAGAAAGCGTTCGCTCGCGAAAGTGGTCTCTTGCACCAGGCTGAATTGCTAGCCTAGCTGCCCTCCCTCTTCCACTTCAAGGTCTGGAGCGGCATAGGTGAGTAGAGTCCTCGCTTCCCCCAGTCGTGACGTCACAAATACTTCGGTCTTCTCTACCCAGAGGAAAGGATCAGGGTTCTAAGAAAGAAAAGAAACCTCCACAAAAGCAGATTTGGTTGTCCGAAACGTGAACTAACGTCATCCAGTGCTGGGCACCCTTTCCCCTCAGTAACTGCTTGGCTGTTCACTAACCCCAAACTGCCCTTCTGTCCCATAAGTTTGTGTTAAAGGTCGATGATAACCCGTTTGAAAATTATGACCTCGCATAGTCTTCCCTTGGAAACTGCCGCCTGAAGCATGTAAACATCATCATTTTAAACATAATTTGGTCTTTGTTTACAAGTAATTACTCAGCCCTTCTTGATTCCATCTCCTTACTCCTATGAATGTAGGTAGGCACGTGGCACTTTTAAAATACAGTGACCCCCTCCCCCCCTCAATCCCGAGCCAATCTTTTAGATTTCCTTGTTAGGCTGATTAGGTTTTGTAAATTTGAAATCTGGGCATCTTCAAAGATTCAAATTAGATTTTCTCTTCCTCATGTTTTCGCAGAGCCTTAGTGGTAAAAAAAAAAAATCCTGTTGGGTTCTATTTTCACTATCTCAGCCATTAGCTAAATATCTCAACTTCTTCTGAACTGTGTCCATACAAAAATGATAGCTGATGCCATCCGATTTAATTTCTTTTTATTGGCTGAACCGAGAGGTTAGTACATTGACCGAATAGCTTATTCTTTGTAGGTTACAGTCCACTAGGAATCCAATTCCCATTACAGTTTACTTTGTGTTATTGTATCCTGTCAGACAATTATGCAACCAGGAACAATTACTAGATACTGTCGAATTTGTCTTTTAGATTGTTACTTATTAATCTATGAATATAAAGATAGACACATATGTCTGTAAATTATATGCATACACAGACAATTCAAATCCAAACAATTCTAGTGGACAAAGGGTAGTTTATTAGAAGTCAACTAAAAAAAAAATTAAGTAGGTTTCTTAGGATCCAAAAGATTGAAAAACAAATGCAACATTTTACTAATGGGGGTAGAGTAGAACTTAGATTTAATAACCCTATGTGACTCATCTACTTTCTCTAGATTTTAATAAACATAAACACACCAGGAGCTGATCTAGAAATGAATATATGTCTCAGTATTTCCTTTATCCCATTTTTGGGATACTGAACACCTGCTTGACAAGAATTTCTCAATCTGCCTATCGTCTTCAGCCCCTCCCTCCGAATCTCACCAATTCAGCCAAAGCAAGGGGTTCATTTACATTCTCTTCTTTTTTTTTTGGTCTCCCTCTCTTTTCCCTTCTTCCCCTTCCCACCCAGTTTAGAGGTGGAAGGCATAAAGCATTCCAGTAACTACACTCAAAAAGTTAAGACTGTGGATCAACATGCTTTGCCGTTTTTGTAAGAAACAGAAAAACCAAGCAAACAAACAAGCATAAGACTACTATGCCACACACTGAATCAACAACACAGCCACCACCATTTCTCTCTCCAATATGGAAATTCATACTATAAATCAAATTGCATGCATCTTATCTACTAATAATTTACTTCACAAATATTCTTTGGAAATGTCATCATGAATTGTGCAGTTGATGTTACATATAAAAATTATTTTCTAAACTCATTTCTTTTTATTTAATTTAAACTTGCCAGTGAAAACTGGGGGTTAATTGATTGGGCATCTGTATAAATAGGCATTTGATTTATTTTTCTGACCATAATATTTTAAATCAAAAGTAGAAGGAAAAAAGTAAGAAATAAGACAAATAGCTTATCCCCAAGCTCCCATACACAAAACTTTTTTAAAACACACACACACACACACACACACACACACACACACACAATTTTAATTTACATTGCAGATCTTATTTCATAAGTGTACCTGCAATCCCAGCAGTTTCTTCTTTGTGACACTGATTCCTCGTTTGGATTTCCATTCCTTAATTGGAAAAATAAATTAGATTTTAAGAAATATCTAGAAAAAATGGGCCTTGGCCTGTCTGCAGACTTAGGGATTCTGATGCAATTTTTAGCTTCTGCCACCGCTAAACTTTGAGGTGGCTTTGTTCCACTTGGACTCTTTGGTTATTCCTCCTTGTTGGATGTGAAGATACTTATCCTCCTCTTCAGTTAATGAGTTTCACCTAGTTTGCACATTTGTATTCTTATATAAAGATCTGAAAAGTGCAAATTGAACCAAAAAGTTCTAGGTTTGATTAAATCAGAAAGTAATGTTCTATAGTAAAAACATTTTCTGTTTTAATGTCTTAATTCTCAAAAATATTCTGAGACACCCAACTGCATAACTCTGTGTAGAATTTTAAACTATAGCAATTTTTGAGTGTTTTATTGCTTGCCTTACTATAAAAGAGAGAGAGAGAGAAAAAAATTGTCCTAAGTACATTTTGAGAAAGGTCCCTAGAAATTTCTTTCAATTTTAACTAAAAGCTTAATGATTACCTCTTAAGTGTATTTCTTTAATTTTTTTCATTATTTCTGCATAAGAGTTGCATTTCCAAGAAACTCCCAAATAAATTAAGAAGAAAAAAATGCCCAAGTGGATACATTTTTTCTTTAAATAGGTTAGTAGGACAGTTAGACTACTTTGGTTCACAAATCAATGGGCTTTTAAAATACTGAGCCACCCAAAAAGTTATCTTCACAACATTATTTTTATAGTGTGATCAACTCTAGAGCTACATATTCAAAATTGTGACACAATAGCAAGAGACTGTGTTACACACACAAAAGCACATCTGAATACAGAAAAGTAATTAGAAGTAGTTATCATCTTTTGGCACACATTTCCTTGGCTAATCCTATTTACACTCACTAAACAAAATTGTAAATGTTCTACAAGGGCCATGATTCACAATTTTTTTTTGTTTTGTCCCTGAATCCTTCCTTCTAATGCATAAAATTTCATTAAAAAATTTGAAGCTCATTAGCTGATGTACTAAGAAATTGCAATGTTGTTAGTCTTGCTGTTTGCTGTGGTTGATCTCAACTATTCTGTCATCAGGATTCTTCTTTCCTCTCAAATGGACTAAAATTTGTTTGAAATTTTTCTTATAAAGAACATGTTTTTGCAACTTGGAGAAAGGAAGAATTTACCTTCTTAACCCAATTTCCAAAGAGATCTTGTTTTCTGGGATCAAGAGCACATGAACAAAAGAACTGTCAACCAACTCTGAGCCCCAAAATATCATCTGAAATCTCAAATAATAATAATAATAGTAATAAACCTCAAGGACATCCTTGATAATTTGTGTAATTTATAGATCACACCTTGTTAGTGATACTCATTTTATTTTTTCATTATTAAATAACACACTTTCTTTGACTTTCTTTGAATATGTTTACTCCAGAAATGACTTTAAATCATTGTGTAAATTGAGCTTTGTAGCAAACATGCAAATAGTGTGAAAAAACAAAAACAAAAACAAAACACATCACCCTGCACAACTTAGTCAAACAGAAGTAACCACTTGACTTTTTGGAGAAAAGTACTCAAGTTTTGTGTGTTTTTTAAAAAAGATATTCAAAGATAAATTCGAGAAAAAAATAGGAATTGGTATATTAAAGGGTAAATACAGTGATTGTACATTACAAAAGGAGCAAAATTTTTTAGCAACTTTTCCCAATTAATGTGCTTGTAAAAATGCTGTTAGAATAACTTTGATAACATATTTTGTTTATCCTCATTTTGTTTTCTCTTTAGTCTTGGCTTAATACTATATTAATTAGCTCTTGTCAATTTTATCATTTTTACATGACTAGTAAAATTTAGAAATAACAGATGATACCTACAATACCAGATACTTCAAAGAAGAGTATATTAACTGAAATGTAGGTGTCTTTAAGGGAAAAAAAACTTCTCTGATTTTTAACTGATGAAATATCATATAATAAAGGTAGTTTTGAGAATTTCTTTAATGTAATAGGATTTCACCCCATAATAAAATGGGAACATATAGGAAATACATATATGGGAATTCACTAAATAATATCAATGAATACCAAAATAGTAAAATCTACAAATTATTTGGCAAAAGATCTTTAACTGGTACAGACAGTGTTTTGATAACCTAATTGTTGAATTTTTCCTCCTTTCTATTACCCAGTTGACAATGAGTCCTCTCAGATATCATTGCTTACATGCTTTGTCCACCCTGAGTTACAATTCAATTTATTTTAAATTAAATACTAATGAAATTGCACTTAAGGGGGACACTTATAAAATTAATTTTTCTGGTAAGTTGCACTTCAAAAGGTTTATTGTTAAAGCTCAATTGATTTTATAGATATATACACCAACCAACACGATTTCAAACTAAACTAAAATTCTGATAAATGTCTTGTTAGCATTGCAGTAGACAATCCAGTCAATCCAATGTGATTAATCACCTCAATTTTGTAATGGTAATTCACAATAAGGAGAAATAAACTAACTCAGAGATCATTATGTATAATTGATTATTTGGTCCCTTTTTTATACCTGTATTTTTGAGGGGTTTTGTTTGTTTTTGTTTTTGTTTTCAGAAGCAAGGTCTCACAGGATTTTTTGTTTGTTTGATCGTTTATCAGCATATACATTTATTTGTCCAAGGAAGTTCAAAACGAGAGTAGCTGCTTTGTTTTCAACTGTTTCACGCAGTTTGTTGCACTTCAATCTCAGGGGAAAAAAAGAGGTGTGAGGGGGAGGGGGGAAAGAAGTAGGAACACACTCCAACAAAGGGTGGGCAAGCAAGCAGATCAACAGGTGAATACTGTTGATGAACCTTGTAGAAACACAACCCAAGGCAAATCCACCCTATTACCATGTCCTGCCATAGAGCAGGTTCGGGTTGACCATGCCACTGTTGTAATCGACAGTGGTCGTGTCCATCTGGGCCAGGTTGGTGACTTGGTTGTGAAGAGAAGGAGGACTGGGAGACATCTCTTCCAGTTCGGGCGCCTGGGTTAAGGAGTTAACTTGTGGGTTCTGGTGCTGATGGACAGCGCTGTTGGTCGAGGGAAGCACGCCATTGGCCCCGCTGGGCTGCGGCGGCTGCGGCCCAGGCTGGCTGGGCGTCGGGGTGTTGGAAGTGTTCTGGCACGGCTTCCCGTCCTTCACCAGCACGGGCACCGCCACTCGCCGCGGTGACTGCTGCTGGCACAAGCTGTTCTCCTGCTGCAGCTGTTGCGTGACTTTGTCCTTCGCCTGCCTTTTCATTTTGTAACGGTGGTTTTGGAACCAGATCTTCACTTGGGTCGGCGTGAGGTGAATCATGCTGGCCAGGTGCTCCCGCTCGGGGGCTGACAGGTACTTCTGCTGTTTGAACCTTCTCTCGAGCTCGTAGACTTGCGCCTGCGAGAAGAGCACTCGCCTTTTCCTTCTTGGAGCCGCATGGAGCGGGGTCATGGACTTGGCTGCCTCGGCGATCCCCGTCAGCGTCCCCATGCCCGTCATGTTCATGCCGGTGGACGGCCCCATGAACCTGGAGACTGGGAGCGTGAGGGAGGCGAGCTGTGAGCTCTCGTCGAGGGGCGACGGCCGAGCACCCTCCTGGCCGCCGGCCGCGGCATGCCCCCGCCATGCCTCCCCGCCCCCCACCAGGGAAACCTAACAGTACCCCGGGGACACTGGCCTGGAGAGGGCAGGGAAGGGTTCTAGGCTCAGCTCCAAGGCCAGGCCTCTCTCTTCACACCTCGGGAAGTGTTCTGACTTAGCCGGGAAGGAGTGGCGTCAGATCGGCCCAGCTGGAAGGAAGAGCGGCCGGAGCGAGGGCTTAAACCCTCGCTGTCTCCCGGGAGGCGGGAGCCGCGGCACGGGCCTTGATACCGCCCGGGGGGAGGGGAAGGGGTGGCGTGTGCTGGCTGTCTAAGCACCCCGCGAGGTGCCCTCGAGCCACCAGCCTCGCTTCCATCGGCTGGCCAGGAATCTGGCGGGAAAGCGCTGCCCACTCCATTCCAACCCCCTCCCTTCATCTCCTCAATCCGCAACTCTCCAACAGTAACGGTCATCCTTTCCCCCGCCCCCGCCCCCGCCCGACCTTGCGCCCGGCTCACTTGTGGAGTAGCGGGGGTCCGGGTTGGCCCCGTACCAGCCGGTGGCGGCAGCGGCCGCAGCACTGCCCCTCATGCCGTCCGGATAGGCGGGGATGTCTCCCATGTTGCCGATCCCCCCGTTGCAGTAACCGCTCATGGCTCCGTGGGGGAACTGGGAGACTCCGGGAGGCATGTGGTAGGTGGCGGCCGCCGCGGCCGCGGCCGCGGCCGCAGCCGCTGCCGCTGCCGCGTTATGGCCCGCCATGGCGTGGGAGGAGGTGGCTGCATTCCGGCCGCGGCCGCAGCCGCGGCCGCCGCGGCCGCCGCCGCCTGCGACGAAGAGCCAGCGGGCTGCTGCCGGTAAGCCGCTGCGGCCGCGGCCGCCGCCCCCAGGGGGGAGCCCAGGTTGGGCGGCGCGCCGTCCATGGCGCCGCCGAACTTCTTGTAGCTCTCCTCGATGGGGCTTAGGATGTCGGACACGGAGAAGGGCGTCGTGTGCTTGGGGCTCAACGACATGGCTCGGCGGGCGGGCAGGTAAAGGGGGCCCGGGGGGCGGGGGGGAGGGGGAGGGGAGAGGAAGGGAAGGAGGGGGAGAGAGGGGGAGGAAAGAGGGACGGCCGCGGAGCTGGAGGCGGGGGGGAGTCGTGGGAGCCGAGGGGGTGGGGAAGGGATGAGGATGGGGATGGGGGAGGGTCGGGGAAGGCGGCGAGAGGCTGTTGGCAAGGTGCTTCCCGCCCCGCGGGCTGGCTGTCGGGTGCCCCGGCGGGCCACAGGGCAGAGCGGGCTGCAGAGGGCTGAGCTGCGGGCGCACAGCACGGGCGGCGGGCTGAGCGGCGGCCCGCGGGTGCGCGGGTGCGAGGCTGCCCTGGCGCGGGGGCTGAGGATGCTGATCCTGCTCCCGCTCGGGTCCCTTCTGCCTCTGCCTGCGCTGAAGGGATCGCCTTGGCAGGAGGAGCCAGAGGCGGTGGCGGCAGCGAGCCCCCTAAAGCTCTCTTATCTCGGGTTTATTTTAGTCCGGCGCCAGGTTTACGACAGACATGGGGGGCGGAGCAACATCCAAAACGAGCAAACAATGGTCATTGACATCTCCCCCCCCCCTTTCCCCGTAATGGAGGCAAAAAAAGAAAAAGGGGGGGGCAGTTTTCGTTTCTCATTAAAAGATCCCCGAGCATCTCTAGTCCTTTCTTCCACCCCACCCACACCCCCAGCTGAGGCCGCCGCCCGGGTCTATCCCATCCATCTATCCTATTACGAGAACCCCAGAAATCTCCGTCGAGTCTTCGGGTGGTATTTTCCTTCACTCACCCTTACCCTCTGGTTTCATGAAGTGACTTAAATGAACTGTCCAGTGGCAAAGTCGTAGCTAATTGAGGGGAACTGTGCAGTTAAGTTAGGATGGTTTGGGCGCTTACATCTTCCTGTCTTGCTCTCCAGTCCCACACTTGCTCCATCATCTAAACTGTTTAAAAAAAAAAAAGAGGCTCTTGGGTCCCCTACACAAGAGCACAGAAAAAGAATAGGTACAATGACCGTACTCTGCCATTGTAGGGCTACCTAATTTATGCATCTTTAGACCCTTAAGCTCATTTTGTGGGCAACCAAATGGGCACTTCCAAATTAGCTCAAAGTACCAAAATCCAAAAGAGAGAGAAAACACACACACACACACACACACACACACACACACACACACACTACATAGATCTTGTATGTATTCTGTTTTTATGTTGTGGGAGAGGTAATTTGCGTGGGCCAAGCAGATGTATTTTTTTTCCGCTACTGTTTCCAGTCTAGAGTTCTGTGCTTTGAGGTTTTTATATTTCTCAAAATTTTAAGTAAAACAATCCTCTTTATCATTGATTCTCACTATCCTAAACAGAAAACAGGTATACATACGACCCATAAAGTATAAGGAGGAGATTCATGCACTTTTGGTTACAAAAGTTCAACAAATTCAGGAATCTAAAAAGCCTTCAATACTCAGGAAAAAGTGAAAAAAATGTTTTGTTTCTTTGGAAAATACAAAGCTACATTCAAACAGAAAAATATATATATATTTTTTCATCTTATTTCGGTAAACACCTGTATGGTAAATAAGAGCTCATAAGTTGTGAGCACTGCAAGAAAGGCGAAAAGCTACAAAATAGAAGTGTCATAAAATAATATTGGGTATGTGTGTATCCCAATAATTTGGGGGAATACTATTAAGACTAAATAGCTCTTGAAAATTCTTATGCTAACGGTTAAGGCGGGGTATGGATTGAAAAAATAATAATTCAAGAAATGAGTGGGAGTTGGTGAGAGAAGAAATGAAGAATTCTATTTCAAGAAATGACTTCTCCTTGAACAGGTGAAAAGGGAAAACGGATTATTTAAGTTTAATAGAAAGGGAAAGCCCAGATGATGTAATGCCTCCTATTCCTTTAGCAATTACAGTTTCAAGTCCTTTGGATTACTTTAAGACAGATCTTGACAAGGTTTTACTCTGAATCTTGTGGAAGGTAGGTCCTTTTTCTTACAATCCCACCCTTCACCAGATATGTGTGGAATTTGACAATAGTGCACGTTTGGGAAGTTGTCTCTAAAAACACTAAAAGATTAAAATAATAATATCTAAAATTTTACGGTATTTCCACAGTAAGAAAAGCATTGTTACAGTTTTAACATTTTGTTAATTTCACAGGTTCTTCTTGATCTCGAAAACCTTCGTATGTCTTCGCCTTTCGCTGCGCTCTCCTTGTCTACTTTATTATCACAGCTCAAAGAAGTTATTAAGCTTCTGCTGGGATTCTCCTGAACTACAGTTTGCTTTAGATCTTTGCTTTGATTCAAGTTTTTCATTCCAATTATTTTATCAGTTTGAATAAAAACTAGTTTGAAAAGTCTTGCATTCCCAACTTTCCTTGAACACAAAGTTAAAGTTGTTGTATTCGAAATACTGGGGATTAAAAATCACTTGTGGGCAAATGATCTTCCTTTCTCCAGCCCAAAGGCACATATCATGTATGTGGCAGAGGTGAAAACCCCAAATACAGCTTTATATTTATCTCCATGTTTATTTACATACACAATGGAAATGTTAAAAATAGTGATTTGAAAATCTAACCTTCTAGCAGTTTGTAGAACTGCTACATATATCTCCTGCTTAATTTTATTCACAGAATTAGTGATTTGTAATAAAAATCTAATTATTACCCTAAAATTGATTCCAGATCTACAGCATTTTGTTTTTCAACAGAAATTAACACGAGCGTTGCTGGCTTGTGAGAACTGCCTTCTCTAGGGTCCATAGCACATTTCTGAATCAAGAAACGGCAACAAAGACTACATGACTGTTAACCCACGTACCAATAACAATGAAATAACAGCAGTGTAATCAATTAGGTGATCGATACTTGCCACACTCTGAAAGTCGATTGACACGAAGTAGGATTCCATCTTTAAACAGAACTGCACTTTATCTTCCTGGCAGATCTTTGCAGCAGTCCACTCTCTAACTGCCTATGAACTTGGTGCTCTTAATACTTCTCCCATTCACAGTGATAAATACTTTCGTAATTACCTTGAGGTGAACAGTTGAGGGGTGGGAAGAAGGCGGGCATGTTAATTGATCAAGGAATTCAAATACTCTTAGAAGTTTTCTAACCATATCCTATCTATTTCATGCTCACTGTGGGCTTAATAAAGTATTTCAGAATTTATGCTATATAAAATCTTGGACCTAGACTTTGGTATGCTGTAGGACTCATTGAATCTTAAACCATTTCTCAGATGTGTGTATCTTAGTAAAAGTACCAATACTAAATCTATCAAAACTAAAATATTGTACCAAAAACAAGTAATTGCATATAGTATAAACATAGAGGTATTTTAGCTGGTGGATTTGTATATGTATATATACATAGATATTATGTTGAAATAATTATAACTCTTTGACTTCTAATTAAACTTATTTTGCAAGAACTATGTCTATATACATTACAGACCATATATTCATTAGGTGCCCAATAAATGCTTGTTAAATTAATTGAATTTTGTGAGTAGTATCTTCAACTCCATTATTTAGGTTTTATCAATTGCTGTATCAATACTTCAAACATTATAAAGATTGAAAATATAATAAACAGGTGGTGACAGGTTTCCTTAGGAATTTTCATAAAAAGAAGAGTTTGCAGGCTTCATGTATTCCCAAACTTTTCTGGGCTGATCCTTTGTCCTTCCGAAATTTAAAGCTTTTCTCAAGATTGTGGTATTTATTGACTATTCATATTGTGGTAGTTAAACTAAGGGCAAAATTATACAGAGATCTTTAGCAAGAAATTTACTGGTTATGAGAATCCTGAGTCAGGTGCTCACTTTTACTTCCTTTCATAGCACTGGAAATTTAACTGTTTAACAGTTGTCAAACAGATCCCTACAGAAGGGGACCTGAGAGAAGCTAAAGGGTTTGTAGCTATCTGATAACCATTTTGGAGGTTGGGAAAGCTTGCAATTTTTTCCTTTGGTGGGAAGTGGACTTTTGTGCCTTCATAAAGAGTGTGTCTTCATAGTCTTTGAAAACAAAATTTGTCTAATAGAACAGAAATGCCTGCTAAAGTATAGTTGCCCTGAGACAAAATGTTTAAGAATCAAATGTGTATAAATTCCTTTGGACTATATATATGTATATATATATATATATATATATATATATATATATATATATATATATATATATATATATATATATATGTATATATATATATATATATATGTATATATATACATATATATATACATATATATATAACTTGATATTTTTCATGAAGATGGAACTTGTCAAATTCTTATTTTGTGAAACTATAAAAAGGTATACTTTCTGAAACATTTTTTTGGAATAGGGGAGAAATAAGAGAATTAGTGAACCAGAATTTTGTAGCAAGCTTTGTTTCTATAATGAAGAATAGATCATAAGTACAATAGAAAGAAAGAAAGAAAAAGAAAGAAAGGAATTTTTAAAGGGAATTTGCTGTAACTTATTATTGGTAGAGTCATACCCACAATTATAATAAGTAGAGAGACCTTATTTTATCTGATCATTATTTCTATTTTCTCCACTATTCAGCACAGGCCTGGGCACATAGTAAGCGCTTAATATGCATTTGTTTAATCACTCCTACTTATATGATAAACTTTTCCTCTGTAAGTATTTTTTTAGCTATTTGCAAAAATATTTTCTTTGCAAGCTTGTGACATATCAAAATTAAACCACAAGAAAAACATTTCAAAAATACTCTTATTTATATCTATTATCTATATCTTATCTGCATCTCATTTATCATGGATTAAAATAGCATAATAGTCTAACAATAATTCTAAAGTCAACTTAGAGATGGCTTTTAAAATTATAATGATGTTCATGCAAAACTGTGAAAGCAGTTAAGAAAGAATTTTTTGCTTCTTGAAGTTATCAGAATACCAAAATTCATTGAGATTTCTGTCCACCTTGTTGCTTTTCTAGACCTGGTAGAACAATCAATTTTATCAGTGGAATAAAAATATGAAGCTTGCCTAAGTAGATGAAGTTCTTCCAGAATGGTGAACATGATCAAGAAAGCAAAAATTACACACCTAAAAAATAGTATCTCTTTCACCATAAATATGATTTGGGGGAAATGCCGAATTATAATTTTTATTTCTGAAAAATAAGTCTACTCATTCAGCTTGTCTACTTGGAAAGTATAGTTTTTTGGAATGCATTTAAACTCCTTTGGACAGTATAAAACTTGATATTTTTCATGGAGATTTTGAAAAATACTTTCACATTGATATTTTCTAAGAAAAATTTTATTTTAAGCAAAACTAAAATACCAAGAAGTTTAGAAAACTAAGAAAAACAGGATAACAAGTACAAAGAGCAACAGAATCATTTCCCAGGGTTCTATCCTAGTCCTACCCATTCCTGGTTAGAAAATGCATACTGTTTCCAACTTCTTTTTAAGTAAAATATTATTCATACCCCCCCATATTTTCTTAAAATTCTGAAACGAGCCAATTTCAAATTAAAATATCTATTCCTCTAAATTCCCAGTGCAGATATTACAAATGTTCCCAGTGCAGATATTACAAATGTTCCAGTATCTACTCTGTAACATTTGATTATATAATTAAGATTTCTTAGGTGATTTATTATTATTATCCAGGTCCTGGCTAATAATTATATGTCTGCTAACTATGTGGGTTATTAATACTGGTTTCATCTGCTTATCTGAAAAAGAAAGTTTAATTCTTAGGTTTTCATAAATTATTCTGAGCTAACTCTTAGATTGGTGCAGTAAAATAATAAATTCTAAAAATTATTATAACTATAAATATTGTCATTATAATAAAAGTAATTAATGGCATAATCAGTTATTTATCAACCAAGGTTATTTTTGTGCTCCAGTGACACAAAATTAATTTGGTGCTGAAGACAGATATTCCATAGTGCTCAATGGGAATATAGATTAGATTTTGGTTAGAAGTGTGTAAATGTCTGAATTTTTCAGTCATTGATAATATTATCAACTATGTTAGTAGTTAAAATAGGTATGAACAAGAAAATCTAATTTTATATGTTATAGCAATATGCTCCAATTCATTTTACAAATCGTCATCAATAGTGCCTGGATCTTAACAATTTAGTTATTGATCTAATTTGTACTAAAAAGATTTAGAACCTTTTAAAAATATACCTCAATGATCAAAAATACATATCAAGCCAAATTTGATTTAGTAATTAAATAACAGATGATTTTTTTCTCCTAAACAATAATAATATAGGAAAACAGGTTTGAACCATAGCAATCTGTCAATCAGATAGAAAACTTTTAATTCCTGGCAAAAATAAATCTTGTGAAGCAAATTGAATAAATGCATATCTTTGGAATCTAGTGACTTAGTAACTATAGTTAGTGACATTTGAATGCATGAGAAAGAAGTGTTGAATATAGAAGGCAATTAATTTTGTCATGATGCAGCAAATTATGCGAAGATATTGCTGAGAGTGTGATTGATACTAGCACTTGAAACTGTAACAAAAGAATTCAAAGGCATTTTTTTTACTAAAAAATTTTACATTTGTAATTTCAATGTATTTTTTAAAAAACTTGAATGTAGACTGTCAACATTTTAAATCACAAAATTCTGAACCATTAGTTTGAAAATTTATGAATCTACAAAGTTCACTCACCAAAATGTTTACTGTGTCATAGAAACAAAAGAAATAAGAATTAGACATTTTAAAATATTGCTTCCTTTATGGTATGCCTTAAAATGAAAGGTTCTAATTATGTTTAGTAATATTTACAAATATTTCATATTTTATCTAACATGTTAGAAATAAAGAATATCTGGTAAATATGCCTCTACTAAAATAATGTTTAAGTACATTTAATAAATGGATAAATTAATTGTATGTTACTTTCTGAAAAAAGAATTATAGGTACAAATTATATGATCTCTAAAAGGGTAGGAGTAAATAATATTCAAGAGAGGAAAAAGTGGGAAGTTAAATTCATTTACAAATCTCATTTTTAATATTTGTCTTATTCTTCATAGAAAAATAATCTTGAAATAAAGTTAGTCAACAAACATTTATGAAATGCTTATGTGTGTTAGGGTTAAAAGTTAACACAATAGTCCCAAACTCTATGTAATGGAAAAGCTTATAAAGTAATGAATATCCATATGTTGTTATGTGTCTGTGTTCTTATTAATGTAAAGATGTTGAAGCCTTTAAAGAGATAAATGATGCAAAAATGGCTATAATAGGTATAAAATTTTTTTACCTAAACTATTCCAGTATATTTGTTAATTTCTTTCACATTATGTGTCCCTAAAAGCAATAGCTTCTTTTTTTGTTCAA